GACATCAAATACGAATATTAAACTAGAATACCCACAGCCCGCCGAGGGTCAAGATCAACTTCATGATTAAAAAAAAAAAAAAAAAAAAAGTGAATCACTGAATCTATTAGCATTTATTGACATTCGGTTATATATATTGTCACACTGTAAATCAGAGCGCGAAGGCGAAAAAAAGCAAAGCAAGGAAAGGAAAAGAAGGAAGGAAAACCCCACCTGTTCATCAGTCACCTGTTCATCAGTTATATATATTGTCACAAAATATCAGAGCGCAAATGCGGAAAAAAAGGAAAAAAAGAAGAAAAGAAAATTGAATTCAATTTTTTATCTTCTTCCTTATAACTCCCCCTGTTCAGAACCTCTTGCGTACAAGGCCGCCCACGTGGATGTAGGTTGAGCGGCGGCTGCCCCCACCCCCGTGTGTCATATTGACCCACTTGCACACAGCCAAAGGGCAAAGAGGCAAAGAAAAGAGGAAGGGAACAGCCAAATACAACAAAACAGGGAGAAACAAACATAAACCAATCCTAGATGACAAGTCCCACATGCCAGCACCGCCCCCACCATCAGGGCCAAACAACGGGACAGGACCAACCAGGATTCAAAACACCCTTGCCTGCAAACAAACAATCCCAGATAACATACCTTTCGTGCGCGCCAGCTCCAAGAATCCTTTGCGATTGATTTTATTGTTGTTGTTGCAAAAATTGGTACCGATTTAAACTGTCAAGCCACCGCTTCAGTGGTCTAAACTAAATTACTGGGACAGCACCGACAACAAAAAAACATAAAAGACAATCCTAGATGTCGATTCCCACAAAAAAGCACCGCCCCCCGCACAGGCCGAACAACGGGAAACAACCACCTAGAATGCCAAAGAAATAAGAAGAACCCCGGCTGACAAGTCCCACATGAAATCTCCGCCACGGGGCTCTAACCGTGAGCCGAACGGGGGTGCAGACAAGGGTGCCAAAATCACAAAACAAGGCATAAAAAAGCTCCGATCCACAGTGTGACAACCAAAAAAAGAGGAGAAGATAATCCCGGATGACGATTCCCACATACGAGCACCGCCCCGCGCTCAAAGGGCCGAACAACGGGAAACAACCAGGATGCCAAAAACCCGAATGACTGGTCCCACGTGAAAGCACCGCCACGCCCATGAGATAGCCCGAACAACGGGACCAGACCAACCGGGATACAGACAAGATTAGCAAAACAAATTCTACCATAACCATATCCATAGTCAAAAAACGGAACCATACAGTAGGCCCGCAAAACGGAATACCCCAGCAACAGGGAAAAAAGTAAAAGAAAAGAAGCAAGGAAGGGGGAATGACAAGAACAAATGTAGAAATTTTTTCTAACATAACAAAAGCATAGCCTGCTAGTACAGGCCCGACGCTCGCCGCATCATCCGCAAAAGCAGAGAGCTAGCAACGTCGGAGTATATATTATCAGTTGCACCCTTCCCAACGAGTCCAGCGTTTGCATCACCGACCGCCTCACAAGCCGGTAGCTAGTACAACGCTTACTTCGGCTCGTTTGAGTACAGCACTTCAAGGCGTCATCCGTACTCTTCGCGAAAAAGATAATCAACTCTTTCGAGTACAGTTGATTTCACTACTATGTATACTAATCTTTCTCATCARMGAATTCTTBACAATGTKGCTAATGCCGTTGATGAGGCGCATGCCTACGCTCTTGCACAGGTACGGCAGCATACACAGACACGCTCATCGGGTGTTGCTCTTCGTATGCTGGTCCGTGGACCCCGTGCAGGGGAATGGACTACGGATACGGGACCTGACACTCTTTCTGT